ACATCATATAAGTGGAGGTCTTCTATATTTTAAAGTAAAATTTTTCTTTAAACATTCAAATAAGAAAAATTTGTCCTAAAACACCGATGGAGTAAACCTAGAGATTTAAAAAAATGTATAATTAGTGTTAGGATATGCATGTTAGACACCCAAAGATAAAAGGCACTGTAGCAATAAATAGTGATTATTATAATGCATATCTGAGAGTGGTGATCACTACAAGGGTTTTTCTTTACTTTTAAAGGAACTCTGTATGAATATAAATGAATACTCACATGAATATAAATTAAGACAGATGTCTGCATACGATTGTTGCTCATAAAGATGATAAATAATGATGCTATAATCTTCATGGATATCAGAAGTATTTTTGGTATGGTAGATTCCTAGGTTCTAACCTTGACTTTGTTGCTAGCTCTTCATTTGGCCTGGGCTACAGGGCCTGATCATCTCAAGTCCCTCTTCTATTCATTTGTGAAATGCAGATACTGGTAGCTGCCCTTCGTACATTATTGGGTTGATGTGAAGATCAAACAAGATAATCACAGTGAAAGGGCTTTGAAAAATTCAAAGCCCTGTAGAAATGCAAGGCATTAGTAAAGACTGTAGAGAGATTGCTAACACAATTTGATTCAGGGACAAAGTTTTGTATTTCCAAAAGTCAAAAAGCTATTTAGCATTTACAAATTATTTAGAAAACCAAATTCTTGCTTTGGTGACCCAGTACCACAACTAAATTGAGTTCTAAATACTGTACATTTGATACCTTCTACTACAACTCATCTAACCACACCAGATGTAATTATACAGCATTTCAGCAATATCTACAATTTTTAGTGGGTAAGAAGTTACAAAACCACATAGCATAATGACAAAGTCATGCCTTTAAAAGGAAGGTTCCCATACTTTTCCATGGCAAAAGTGCTGTTCTCTGTAACAGATCTATGAGAGACCTGCCTGCCAATGCAATTTAACCAACACTTATTGAGTGCTTATGGTGTACAAGTCATTAGCAGAAGAGATGGGATGGAGAAAAGATGGAAGTAGTGAGAAGAAATGCAAGAGAGAAAGTGTCCTTGAAGTGGGTAAGCTTTAAAATTACTGAGGAGTAGCAGATGCTGTGACAACTAAGTATACAAGTGAAATGAATGCCAAAAAAATGCTTAAGGAACATGCCATGGGAGTTGAAGAGGTCGCAAGCATTAACTCATTCAATCTAGGAAGGCAAAATCTGATGATATTTGTCCCAGGCCTTGATGCATGAGGGTTCTTGTGTCAGAAAAAGAGGGAAGAGGAGTAGGAATGTAGCTTAGTGGTAGAGTGCTTGTCTGCAATTTGTAAAACCCTGGGTTCCTTCCCCTGCACCACAAAAAAGTGTGGGGAGGAGCAGGATATTTCAGGCCTGAAGGAACCATACCAATGATTAGACCAGTAACACTGACCTACTAATTAGCTGGTAAAATTAAACAATTTAGTAATGTGCCTAAAACTATAGAGTGAGTCACATCTGAATGTGTTCGGGGCTTAATCTAAATTCTCATTTGAAAGCAGCAGCCTTAGCCCTTCTACTTTTCCAGGAGGGCAGCTCAGAGTGTCAGACAGGATTCTGCAAACAATGGTCTATTTTATTTCAGTTCCCTGGAGATGCCAGAATGTTTTTCCTTGTTCAGATAGGGATTCCAAACTTAAATAACCCACACTAAACTAGAAAACTCCAGGCCTATCCTCCACCTGCTGGTTTCTAAACTCACTTCTATTCTTGTCTCAATCAGTTTTCACAGATCCAACACCAACCTTTATATTCCGTTTTAGTTTTCTCTCAGGATTATACTTTCCATACCCCATGCATTACTGTTAGATTACTCTTCATATTTCAAAAAGTATTAAGAAATGTCTTCTAGGGGCTATGGACATGGCTCAGGAGATAGTATTAGCTGGTAAAATTTAAACAATTTAGTAATGTGCCTAAAATATAAGAGTGAGTCCAAATCTGAATGGTGTTCGGGGCTTAATTACAATTCTCATTTGAAAGCAGCAGCTTAGCCCTTCTCTTTTCAGGAGGGAAGCTCAGAGTGTCAGACCCAGGATTCTGCAAACAATGGTCTATTCTTATTTCAGTTCCCTGGAGATGCAGAATGTTTTTCTTGTTCAGATAGGGATTCCAAACTTAAATAACCACACTAACTAGAAACTCCAGCCTATCTCCACTGCTGGTTCTAAACTCACTTCTATTTCTGTCTCAATCAGTTTTCACGATCCAACAAACTCTTTATATTCCGTTTTAGTTTTCTCTCAGGATTATACTTTCCATACCCCATGCATTACTGTTAGATTACTCTTCATATTTCAAAAAGTATTAAGAAATGTCTTCTAGGGGCTATGGACATGGCTCAGGAGATAGTGCGCCTTCCTAGCAAGCACAAAGTCCCAAGTTCAAGCCCCAGTCCCACAAAAAAATTGAACATTTTGGGCTGGTGGAGTGGCTCAAGTGCCTAGCAAGTGTGAGGTTCTGAGTTCAAACCCAGTACCATCAAAAAAAAAAAAGAGCGAGAAAAGAAATGCCTTCCAACCATATTATGATTATGCTATTAACTAATATTTATTGAGATCTTATCTTGGGCCAGGCAATGTTAAATGTGTCACAGCATTGTTTTCTTTGCATGGAGAAGGTAATATTACTATTTCCATTTTAAAGAACTGTCCCTAGCAGAGGTGTAGTGACTTTCCAATGTTATCCAATTAATTTCACGAAGCCATGAACCACAATCTGCATATTTAATCCTACACTGCACTATACTAACCTCTTACCTTTCTATTCAATATCAATATGAAATTCTATGAAGTATAAGTGTCATTTATATGCAAACCATGATAAAGTGTGGTACTGTCCTACAGGTTAAGTGGAACAGCACTGCTGACTTGATATAGTTATGTTAGCTAAGGCTTATTTAGCACTCTTTATATTCAAAGAGCACTGTGCTAAACACATGTATTTTCTCATTTTATCCCTCAAGAGTCACCTTCAAAGAGAAGGATAACTATTGTCTTTTTAACAAATGAGCAAGTTGAGGCACAGAGAAGTTGAGTAATTGGCATAAGGTTTTATTAGAAACTGCTGGGGCCAGTATTTGGACCTTGATCACTTGGCATCAGAGCTCTAGCTTTTAGTCTCTGAGCTATACAAGATTTGGCTGGGTTGAGAGCCCCAAGACGATTGCCTCAAAAAATTTCCTGTAATCTGCTAGCCCCAGAACCTGAAATGAGACCTTCCCTAGTGGTTAGGTATGCTGTTTGCTTTCAGGGGAGGAGTAACATTGGGAGTAACATGCATCCAGTTCCTTCAAAGCCTGTGCCAGGTAGGCAATCCAGGTGCCAAGGCATCCACAAGTGAGAAACACCAGGGGCTTGCCCTCCAGAGCTGGAGAGGAGCAGAAAGAAGTAAGCTTCTTTTTAACCAAGGAAGGGGCAATCAACAACAAAAAGTAAGATACTGAAAACATCTGAGGTCCTGCCACTCCCTGCTTAAAAATCATTCACCAGCTGCCATCACCAGCAGGGTACAGCTTGCTTCTCTTAGCAAGGCAGGCCTGGCTGCTTTTTCAGCATCTGTCACCAACTCCTTAGTTTCATCTCTGCTTCACTGTCACACGCTGCAAGAGCCAGGACATATGACAGGTGTCTCCATGTCTTCACCTGCCTCTGCACCAGTGTTTTTTTCACCCCTTCCATCTGACCTAACTTGTAAGCCTCCTTCAAAAACTACCTTGGTCGTATTTGTATAGATGGGTTTTATTATTCCTTTCCTCTGATACATGTATAATACTTTGCACAGTATGGTAGCACTTATCCTAAATTGCAATTATTTACAAATTTATGCCTTTAAAGGCAAAGTGAGTGGCTTAGTCCTGTTTTGCATCCCAAGTGCTCTCTCACAGGTCATTCCAGACTCTCAAAGGTTGGGTAAAGGCTAGAATATGCATCTTAACATCTTAGAGTGCAAGGACTTTTACCTAGGCCACATTAGCAGCCCTGAACACAGCACGGAAAGAGGAATCAGCATTTGATTTGGACTGTTTCTTTCTTTCTTTCTTTTTTGGCAGCACTGGGGTTTGAACTCAGGGAAGAATCAGCATTTGTAAATGTGGGAGAAGAAATCATTCTGGAAGAACCAAAGCAGACCTGGTCCATCCTCAGCTGGATGGACACCACCAACCCCAGAGTTCTGTAGATCTCTTCCCCAAAAGAAGACCTTACGGTTCAGAAAACTGGCGGTGAGACAATCTTGTCTTTGTAGGCGTACCTGCCTCGCCTCCAGCAGCATACCTGTCCTCTTTGCACTCCCCTTGCGCCGCCCAGGCGGGACACTTCGCACCCACCATTGAGCCAGGCATTATTGTAGTAGGTACTTTGAAAAACATCCCTTTATCTAATCCTTCCAACATCCTGTACTCGGGAGGAAACTGACGTCCGAGGGTTAAAGCAACTTGTCTCCTCTCTTCGACCCCGTGGCTATCTCCCACCTTTTGCAGAGCGAGGGGCTCCTCGCTCTTCGCGCTCTCGGGCTCCACACCCCTCAACGCACAGTGGTTAAAAAATAACAGTCCTTCCTTCTTTCTTTGTCCAAAACCCAAGTTGTTTTGCAGACAAGTTGGAGAGAGAGAGAGAGAGAGAGAGAGAGAGAGAGAGAGAGAGAGAGAGAGAGAGAGAGAGAGAGAGAGAGAGAGAGAGAGAGAGAGGAGAGAAGAGAGAGAGGAGAGAGAGAGAGAGAGAGAAGAGAGAGAGAGAGAGAGAGAGAGAGAGAGAGAGAGAGAGAGAGAGAGAGAGAGAGAGAGAGAAGCCGCAGGACGCGCGGAGCGAGAAAGAAGGGCGGGCACAGGGTGAGGGGTGGGGCCAGGTGGGACGGGCGCGTGCCATTGGCCAGTGCTCAGGCACGGCCCCGCCCCACCCCGCCCACCGCCCGCGGAGGAAGCCGGCACGCGCCGCCCAGCGCTGAACAGCGGCCGACATCTGGGGCGGCCCAGCGAGAGCGGAGCGAGGCGGGCCGAGCCGCCTGCACCCTGCGGCGACAGGGGCGACGCGCAGCGCCCGGCCCATTGGCAGGTAACGCGCCGTGTCGTGCCGTGCGGCGCCGCGCTGGCCGGGTTAGGACCACCAGGACGGGGCTTGGGGACGAGAACACGCGCCAGGCGGAGAGATTTCCTCCTTGCCCGGCAGCGGCTCCGAGAGCGCACCCGGGTTCTGGTTTTGACTTCTCTGCGCACTGGCTGAGTTACTTGCACACCTTTCTTTTCCTCTCTGGATCTCCGTTTCTTCCTTTTTCATGAGGGAGTTGGTGTAGAACTTTAGTCTTCTGAGCTCTAAATCGTGAACTGTTTGGGGACAGTTTGTCGGCAAACTTCGTTCCTCAGTTTCCTACTTATTCGAGTGCCACCTGTGCTGCCCGCTGCCGAGTCGCCGGGAAGCTGGGGTGCCGGGGTGGGTGGGGTTCTGCTGGGCTGTCGCATTTGGGGACTTTCAAGGACTGACCCCAGGCTTGGGGTTGGCTGCTTGGCTGCCCCCGAGGGCTCCGATGAAGAAAGGTAGAGGGTTAAGACTTAATTTACAGGTGGGATGACGGGAAGGGCAAGTAAGGGGTTGATGATTTCTCCTTTGAAAATAAGCCGATTTATTTTGAATTTTTCCCTTCCTACACTCAAACTTCTTTTCGGCGAGTTAAATTACAGAGTGGGATTTATCATCTTTCAAAAATGACAGCAGACTGCTGCACCTATAAGACATAGACCTCCATCAGCATGGAGGAAGTGGGTCTCTTTGCACCCATCCTCCCTCCTCCCTCTTCCTTTTTCTTTCTCCTCCCTTTACAAGTCCCCCTTGACTGTGAGGGGCTCTACTTCCTGCTTGCTGCAAACTCCTTATTTTCACTTAGTGCTGGTTTGTGACCAGCAGCCTCAGCTTTGGGCTGTGGGTTGTGATGGACCCTAGAATCATAGTGAGCCTGCCGAACCATACAGCCTTGCAGGGAGGTGCCGAGGAGGCCCTGGGGGCTTCATATAGACAGATAGACAGACACTGGAAGGTAAGATGGATTCCAGCTGTTGTCCAGCTTCCTGTCTCCTTCTTAGCAGCTATTCCGGATCATGATGGTGGTCCCTGCTACCGGCTGGATGGAGCATCCTTATTACAGGAGGATGGTTGAAAGTTGCTGAGGACTTTAATCAGTTTCTGTAGATGTCCAGAAGTTCCCTTCCCTCAACTTCCCTCAGCTCTGTAGTTTTTCTGCCCCACTTCACCCCTTGTGTGTATCCAGGTGAAATCGGATACTAGGATCCATCAAGAGTGGCCAGGAAGAAGAGAAGGAGTGGGGAGGAGGGCAGGGCAATGTTCACTGTCTTATTGGGCATTTACTATGGGCCAGGCACGGTTCTGCGTATTCTCACAAAGCCACATGAGGGGATGAGAAACGGAGACTCACAAGGATTGCTTCTCTTACTCACATAGCTAGTAAGTGGTGTAGCTGGGATTCAAATTCAACTCAGCATAAATGCAATAAAACCTGCATTGTTTCTTTCTTTGTGCTCCTTGAATAAGGATAAGCTGGAATAACAACAGCAACAAAAAGACTAACATTGAGATCTTAATAAGTCAAAGCATCTTAAAATACTGTGAGTTTCCATTATTCTGTGGGAACTGGGGACTACCCTTGGCCTCTCTCAGCAGGAGTCCTATTCCAGGCAGCCTGCCTGCTCCCACCCAGCTGCTCCTGAGTGGGTGGGGTGGGGCCCTGTTTGCTTTATCCTAGAAGTGGTTTGGGGTCTAATGAAAGATTGATTGTCCACATGTGATCCGTTAGACCTGACCGTTGGCTTGTGAATGATCCCACTGTCCCTTAAGAGTCCCTTTTCAGGCTTTACTCAATAAACATTTGTGGAATGAATGAATTAGCACCTTGTGCAGAGGACTCTGCTGCCTCATAGAAATTTGAGGCAGCTCAGGGGCAGCCTGGGCCCAATCCTCAAAACCTGTGTAACGCCCACAGGGGGTTCTCCTTGAGCAAATGAGGTGGGATACAGGGTGCCCGTGGGTTTCAGAGTTCCTTGGTTAAAACGTTTGCTGCCACATATTTTATAAATAATTTTTAAGGGTATAGTACTCGAAGAGAAATTTGAATTAAAGAAATAACCTGCAAAGTAACTTGACATTAGTGAGATTGTAGCTCTCTCAAAGAGATAAGATAGTACTGTTTGCCTTAGGGCTTCCCAAACTTCTCTATGGACAAACCCCTAATGGAAGACAAACCAAGTGCCCCTGGGAGTTGAGGTATATTTCAGATCAGCTCCCAGCAAGCCTGGAAATTACCTTAAGGACTTAAGAAATTTTTCATTTGAATTCATTATATGTGGATGTCAGCTTAGAAAAATAAAAGTTTTTTTCCCCCAAAATATTTGAGTAAATAACTGGTATTTTGGTAGATTGCTTTATATTCTTGGTGGCTGACGTGACACAGTTTGGAGAAATAGGGCAAAGATTTTCTGGTCTGGGGCTCAGAGTACCATTTGCATTTTCCAGTCTCTGGTTCATAGTAATTGAGCTTCTCAACTCCATGGGGCGACAACCTCTTTTCCCATTTGTTAGAATTAAGAGTATGCTTTAAAATAAAAAAAAGGTTTTTTTTTGTTTGTTTTCTTATTGCAGAAAGAAGGTAAAATACAGATTACCACCACTAATAATAATAATAAAAATAAAACCAATACATCTTTACTTAGAAATAACTCATGCAAAACTTGGGATACAGTTTTCCAACTCTTTTTCATTGCATCTAGATGAGGACATTTTAAAAAATGAATCCAACCCTTAGTTTTGATTGCATTCTTATCAGAGTTAAGAGTCATCTCATATTGTTTTAAAAGAATGCAGAGAATAAATTATGGGTAATTAAAGGCATCATAAAGGTTAATTCTGTTTGTGAGCTTCAACATTTACCACTCCCAGGATCTAGCAGAATGGCTCAAGTGGTAGAGGCTCTGAGTTCAAGCCTCAGAACCGCAAACACACGCACAAAACTAAAACCAACAAACAAACAAAACCCCCAAACATTTACCATTCCCATCCCATAAATCCCCTGTGTCATTTGGTCTCCAGCAGAGAGAACTGTCAGGCTGTGTGGTTGCTGCTGAAGTTGTAGGGTCAAGCTGTGTTCCTTGCTGAATGTCTCAAATGTAACAGAAAAAGTTGCTTTTCAGTGTATTGATGTGAAAATTTGAGCAGAAAATTCAGTAGCTTATTTGCAAAGTTAGAAGGAAAGGGCTTTAAACAAGATGATTGCTCCAGCATTAGATTGTATTACCTGTGTGATCTCTGGCAACACAGGTAGCTGCTTTGAGCTAGTTTCTCCTGTAATTGGAAGTAATGAACCCACTACTGTGACAAAATGCCTGAGGTAATCAATTTATAAGGAGGAAAGGTTTATTTTTCTGGTTTCAGTCCATATTCAGTTTTGGCTCTTTTGCTTTTGGTCTTGTGAGAATATGTGGAAGAGGAAACTTTTTTTTTTTTTTTTGTAGTACTGGAGTGTGAACCTAGGGCTTCATGCTTTCTAGGCAGGTGCTTTACCACCTGAGCCATTCTGTTAGCCCTTTTTTGTGTTTTTTTTTTCTTTGTTTTTTTAAGATAGGGTCTTGTGAACTATATGACCTGGCTGGCTTTGAACCAGGATCCTCCTGGCTGGAATCTAACTCTTGACTTAACATTATTTGTACTTCACTTGTGATTTAAATGTTCTTCTGGAGCTCTCCCTTAAGTTTTCTTCAAAGAATCCAGGATTCCTTGCTGACTAGTATCTCTTTGATCTTCATCATAATCCTGAAGGGAAGAGAAGGAGAGAACATAGTTCCATTAAACAGGATAAAACCTGGCTTGCCATTCAGGGATTTAGTGAAGTTCTTCATTTGCATGGTTCCTAAGAGCTATTTATAGTTGTCTTAAGCAAACCAGAGGCATGCTGGGAGGAAACAATAAGAGCAGCTTGGAAAACAGTGTACCTATGTGGTCATGGTGAGGTCCAGCAGCCATTGGCTCAAGGGAGACTTTCATGCATGTACCCTGCTCCTGGTAGCTCTGGAGAGGCTGATGCATGAGCCCTGAATTGGGATGCAGGTGACTTGGTTTCTACACCTACATCTGCCAAAGACAAGTTGTACTAATTGGGTTTAGTCACATCCTCTCCCTGAGCCTTGGTTTCTTTGTAAAGTTAGAGTTGGACCAGATGAAGTTCCTTCCAGTCTTAAAAGTTTGATTTGAAATTATTTTCCATTTATGTGTATGACGAAATAGAAGTCTGATTGAGCATTACTTCATGACTTTGAGCTTTTGGTGACACCCCTCCCCCCATTATTTTCTAAGTCTCCCCACCTGACTGCCCTCTACAGATTACTGGAAGGAGTGTTGTTTCCAATCATTTATTTCTCTTAATCCAGAACTCCTAGAATGTTGGGAGGAGCTAGGTATATAGAAATACAATGAAAACAGGTTTTAAAAAATATTAATAAAGTTATGTGTTTCACTAACTACTTATCTCTTAAGTCACTAAGTACAGTATTTTTTCCTAGCCTGTGGGCACTTGACCCTGTGCTAGAACTTTTGCAGAGTGTGGAAGAGGCTTATGACCCCACTCTTGAGTGGCTTCACCCTGCAGGGGTTGAGGAAGAGGCTATAGAAGACAGGAGAAAACCAACTGTGGTTGGAATAGAAACGAGATGAAAAAACCAATTTGGGAAAAGATTGAGCCCCCAAGGGCTTAGACTGTATAATGTGGTTCTGTATCCTCATAGCCTGATACAGTTTCTGGCACTCAATGGGAACTTAGTATTTTAAATTAAACAACAAATGAACAAATGAAAGGATGGATGAATCATTCTCCTGAGATGAAGCCTGCTGAAAAGTGGTGTAATGTCCCTCTGATGGTTAGTTACAGTGGCTTCTTTATGTACTTAAACTTACAAAAACACTTTCAATATGAATTACCTCTCATATTGATGATTGAGATAAAAGAAGGCCAAAATAAACTCACACTTCTAGACACATTATAGTTACTAATAGGAATA